TGACGTCATCCCCTGAAGATCCTTGACGTCCATAGTCAAGATCAAACGAATACTCTGAGTCTCGTCTGAAGACTTTGTACCCCACATGTCGATCGTCATCCCTCCTCCTCATTGTATCGTCTCGACTGTAGGCTGTCGAATGGATCCCTTGGACTCGCGTTTCCAAGGAGGTAGTACACTCTCGCGGTCAGGGCTCGGTCGTCGATCCCGATCCCTCCAATCTGAATTCGATGGTCTGCGAGGGGACAGAGGATATGGTGAATGTCTGACGGGAGATCTCGCGCTGCTGTACATCTGATGCTCCCTCTGCCCAACCTCGTCAGCGTGGCTGGTCTCATGTCGTGGAAGCGACGACTTATACGGTGACGCAGGGTGAGGTCTGGCATCGTACGGCCGAGCCACGCAATTCGGCTGGACAATCCTGACGGGACTTGCAAGCTGAGCAGGAGTTGAGAGCTGTGCCTCCGATTTGGCAATTTGTGCTTTGAGACCCGCAAGGGTAGTCAGAATCTCTTGATCCGCAACAGAAGGCCTCGTTTGGGCATTGGGTCTCTGTATATCGTCTCTATGTGGCACGCCATGATCAGATCTTCGACCACACAGTTGCTTCTGTGGTGATGAGCTTCTTCGATGAGCATCAGCACGCCGACCGCCATATCCTCGCTTTGTTGGCGAAGTCAAGGCATTTTGTTGATGCTGAGATACCAATCCATCGCCGATCCTGCTCAAAAGACTGTCGCGAGGTGCCTCGGGACGAGACTTTTGCCTGAATACGTTAGAACAAGGAGAAGAGAACGCAACCTCAGCTTACCTGCTTGGATCCTGATAGACAGTGGATCTGGCAGGGGAAACAACGATTCGGCTATGTGAGGATGGATAGTCGGCGAATTCCAATCTCTGCTCTAGAGACAACGTCCGGCCAGAAGAGTTGCGTGAAGAATGCTCTGATGTTTCACGAATACTGTATGTCGCAAAGTTTGAAAATCCATATTCATCATGTTTCTTCCCAATTGTCCTTCCTTGGCCAGTGTCAGAGTGCCATCAGTTTGGCCTAGCGTCGTTGGAGACACTGCTTGGTCAAAACTCCCATTTTCTGTCGAAATTTGCCGAGCGATTCGTTCATGCTGAGGAACGCCTCGCCTGTTCTGTAGCTTGGCCTTGAGTTGAACCTGTCGATCACCGACTTGGCCCGACAAATCACTGTCCACCGTGATCTCTCCGGGCTCGGACGGACTCCCCAGAACCTCTACGCGAAGATCCTGGGAATCCCTCAGAATGGATCCTGATTGCTCGATATGAGAGGATGCATCCAGGTCCGCCTCGACCTCGGCCGCTGCCTCCGATGAGTAGTCCGCTGGCACAGTGGTGGAGACGCTCTGTCGCTGGAGGAAGGTTGCTGCCATCACTGCAAGGGATTTTGGCTCGTATGAGTCTATCCCTTTCTCGAGCATGCTCCTGCTCGCCTCGAGTTGTAGTTTGAACTCCCTGAGCTTCTGCAGAGAGTTGAGTTCGGGCTGGAGAGTTTCATTGTATATTCGATTCCCAGTTACGAGTTGGGTTTCACCGACCGAGGGGATCGGAATTGCGACGATTGAGGGATCTTGGTTGGCCGTTTCGCCAGATGCGAAGCCATGAGCGTGGTCTTGATCTCCTTTGCGATCGCTTGGGATCTTCAGATGAGTGTTGAGATTCTGTGTCGCTTGACTGGGGTCTGGTTGCTGGCGGTCGTATGGCTTATTCCTCTGCTGCCGGCCATCATGCCCCAAGCTAAGCGATCGACAAACGCTCAGGTCTCCATGTTCATACTTAGCTGGAACAGAGTTACGTCGGTCGTGTCGGTCGTGACTATCGATGGATACTCCAGAGCTACTGCGTTGTTCCATACGGGCTCTATGGCTCCTTGGGTGAACAAATCGCGGGTTGTAATTTTTACCAAGATACGGCGCCATGATCGTTCGAGAATTGGGTGGTCTCGGCCAAGGCAGGGTCGAAGTGCAAGTGTCGTAGTACAAATGAATACCCTCTGGCTCATAGATGGTGTCTTGATCTGACTACAGTCACCAGACAGAGTACAGTCGCGAGACTTCCCTTGTCGTAGCTGAACGCGCGCTGCAAAGGACTATCGAAACAATGGAAGGGCCACGCGAGTCGGTACTTGTCTCCGAGGGAGGTCCTTTGTGTCGTGTGACGATCCTGAGGATACGATCAGAAAGGGGGAGGGCACTGCAGTTCTGTTCAAAAGCTATCAGTGATGCCCCATAGATGCTCTCAAGACGCAGCAGGTGTCAAGTTCATCAAGTTTCAATCGAATGTCTGAACATTTTGGATATCTTTTGCCAAGGAATGTGTCTCTGATAGACGGTCCGAGCGTTTCGGATGAGTTTATGCTTAAATATCATGACCGTAGATAATTACGTAATCTTTTCTGCCTGTTAAATGGGTTGCAGAACCTCGACTGCAGCCTTCTTCGTCTGCTTCACTCCCTCACTCTCTCATTCAGTCACACTTAGAATGCCTGTTGATCGCTGGGACAGGGGATCATTGTCTCCTGAGCTGCGTGGAAGATCTTTCAGTCCTCCGGCTGAACCCAGTGTGGCAAAGCCAAATGCTGGTCCTTCGACGAGGGTCAAGTATGATGCGGATGATATTCAGAGGATAAGGGTGAGTGGGACGTCATTCGAGGTGGATCTGCTCCTCAAACTGCTGGCAAATCTTTCGCGATATCTCTCACAGCGGAAATCGTTTGGTATGGTAGAGGTCTTGCTGACCATCATGTAGCTTGAAAAACTATTTGCAAATCCCACGAAAGAGATTGCACTCCCTACTGGACCGAAAGAACGGACTCTACGAGCACCTCGAGAGATGATGAAGAATGTCCAAGGATCTTCTTCCGGAGCTGGATCAGGTGAATTTCACGTATACAAGCAGAGTAGAAGGAGAGAGTATGAGCGATTAAAGATGATGGAGGATAAGAACAGACAGGTGGGTGTTTCTGGCACACTTGCAAGAATTGGAACCGCTGCTGATGTGAGCAACTTCTCCCACCATGTGACTGTCAACCATCTGGACACTGCTACACTACCATCGCTCCTTCTCGCTTTACATACTGTTAACGTCCTTCCTTTGCCTCCTTTCTGGATGTCCTTGCCTCATCGCAGATCGAGGAGCAAAAAGCGTTCCAAGCCCGTCAAGATGCCCGAGACGCAGCGACAGAAGCGAAGACAGCGAAGAATCGAGCCAAGCGACAGAAGCGCAAACAAGGACGTAAAGGAGATGATGGACTTACTGGATCTGCTGAAGGAGGAGGTGGAGGAGGTTCAAAACTGAGAAAGTTGGAGCATGGTTCAGGAGGCAAAGTCATGTTCAAGAGGCCGGGGCAAGACTCGGATAGCGACGAGGATGGTGACGAAAGCGGTGCTGCTGCGAATGAGGAGGAAGCTGGTCCGAGTATTGATGCTATGGCGAAGCCTGAGGACCCTGCGCCTGTCCCCGTTGTCGTGGAGGAGACGAAGATATTGATTCACGATGATGATTAGTGGTCTTTGGGACATCATATGGAAGTAGATCATTGTGTGCAGCCACAGGTATCTAAAGAGATGGTGTAGTATACTGGGAGCCGTTGCCCTATATATGCTTTTGGCTGAACTCAGAGACGGTGTGCCAATTGAAAGCCCAGGAGGACAACCGCCACGTGGTCTATTCTCAACTCGCCGGGTCGCGATTGCTGATTCCATCATCCTTGAATTGATCACTCGTTGCTTCTATCGCGTTCTGACACGAGTGATCAAACATGCCTCCTATCGTCTCTATTCCCGCCGGTCGATCGCTCAGACGGCATCAACATGACAAATGGGTCGATGCGTCTCCTGACAAGGGATTGATTGAGATGTATGTTGAAGACGACCTGATGCACTTTGGTGAGTTGAACTGGTAATCAACGTTCCCTTGTTAGTGCTAACGCGCGGTGCTGCGCAGCGTGGAAGAACAGACAGAATGGGCTGACTGAGAATGTGAGCTATTGGTCGTTCGATCGTCACGATGACTAACGCGACGCAGGACCTCATCATCTTTCCTGGCGAAGCGACCTTTGAAAAGGTCCCTCAAGTATGTTAGCAGTCACGAGCCTTCAGAACCAACCTGACTCTCTATAGGACCCTTCTGGACGAACATGCATCCTCAAGTTCTCCAGTTCAGACCAGAAATACTTTGTGAGCTTATTGTGTCCCGACGAGTCTGCGCTCATCCATCCCAGTTCTGGTTCCAACGAAGATCGACTGAGAGCGATGTTCGGGACGAAGTGGACATCAACGAGCTCCTCCAAGACCCTTCTTACCAGTGAGTGATTCTGCATCTCATCATCGTGCAGACCTGATGACGCTCCGTAGACCCGGCAGCGCACCTTTGCCTGACCGCCCGACAACTTCCGCTCCAGCTCAAGAAGAGCGAAGCCATCCTCCTACGCCAGGTGCACCGAGGTTGTCGAATCGGGAACCTGGGCCTCCTATCCCATCTTCTCAGCCTGTAGCTCAGGCGAGCGGGTCGTCAGCTCCGGCGTCTGCATCTGGAGCAACAGCTACGAACGAGGAGATGGCGAGGCTCTTAGTCGAATGGGCTCAGAATGGGGGTCTAGGGGAGGCTCAAGAAGGTGCAACGATCCTCATACTCTCTGAAAGCCTATGCTGATACCAAATCTACTCAGACGCTCGCTTGACAGACGTGTTGAGCCCCGCCAACATTTCGTCGCTCTTGTCTTCCAATCCCCGCCTGGCGACGACCCTTGCGCCTCTGTTGCCGTCTGGTCTCAATCTCCCCTCGGAACCGAAAGCATCAGATTTGACTCCCATCCTCACTGCCCCTCAGTTCACCGACGCTATCGCGAGTCTCGACAATGCCCTGCGCAGTGGCGGACTACCAGGAGGAATGATGCGTGATCTTGGTCTTCCCGAATCTGCTGGTCAAGGTGTCAGGCAGTTCCTGGATGCGCTCAGAGGACTGGAGCGGAAGGAGGGAGAGGATGATCGAATGCAGGAAGACTGACATGGCATGCGTGCTTCTTGCAGCAAAGGAAGGTACCTCTGAACGTCAATCATGCATTTACGCATCATGCTCTTTGCTCAACTCTCTCAATGGCTCATCTCCTTTTAACGCTCTCAAGCGAACGCCAAAAGTCGGCAACGACTTGCTGATCAAGATGGCGCTTTAGTCGGTCGATCTAGGAACAATGTGATCAGCCGAGTCTTGGAAAATCACAGAAGCAAGACGTCAGCTCACCCTCAGCTCCTGGACATTCCAATCTCTGACAGCAGGATTGGTTGGATCGTTGCTCCACTGGAAATACACGCCTTTGACTGTGGAACATATCAGACCTACCTCCTTGTCACAGGGCATGCCTCGCTACTCACCGTGCCTGAATAGAGTTTTTGGGTCCTGCCACTTGTACGGACGGAACTGCCAGGCTTGACCGGTAGTGAGAACGCAGATGACTCGGTCCCTGCATCGGTCAGCTGGGATTCTCTGATCGGAGAGAAAGAGCCGACCATGCGTCTTGTCCAAACTTCTGTAAAGCCTCCACGCCATCTACTACATAATACTTGCTCGTGATATCTCCTAGGATATGTCAGCAAGCCTTCCACCTGGAGGGAGATCAGACTGACCTGCTGGACCGCTCTTCTTCCTCATGATGGGGATCATGTCCTCTGATTTGACGTTGCCCTGCGACATCTCTCTCTGTCTGGCCACATCGGAGGGTTCAAAACTTGTGAATGTCAGCTAAGAACAAGATTTGCAGATCCCATTTCACACTGACATTCCCTGCTCCAAGAATCTGCGGACATTCCACATCGTTATCAGTGCCGTAGGCGACGACGAGATCATGATGATAGGGTTGGATTGCTTGGCTTTGCGTGGTCCGCGTGATGGATCTATGCGATTGTCAATGATGGAGGTCTTCTCGATTGAACGCACCTGTTGACGCTTGACTCTGCGGCGCTACGCCACGACCACTTGGAGCTTCCATGGATTTTCTCAACGCTCGTATCTTCTCTGCCATGACGCCTTTGACGAACGACTCAAAGCTCTGTAACATTTGGTGAGCTCCGATCTACCCTGTATGGATGGCAAGAGTTGCTCACGTGGACCTTGCCCCCTTGCGATGCTCTCAAGACGCTATTTCTATCTCGAAGCTCGACGACTTCTGATCGCAACTGAACGAATCAGCTTTCGAAACGGTGATAAAGCTTGCATACACACCTTCTTGCAGAACTCAAGGTCGGCCCTATTGACCTCGTACTTCCGCTTGGCCGGCTGAGAGACCTTTGAGGGACCCGCTTCGGATTCGAGAGAAGCAGGCAGAGCATCGGCACCAGATGGTAGAGTCATTGAACTGCCTGGTCCTGGATATCCGAATCAGCTGAGACGGGCGGGAAATTATGGATTAGACTGACCCGCATCGTTACTAAGCGGCACAACTCTTCCTTGCTCGTCATTGCCCCCGTTCAGATAGTCCAACACGAATCTCCTATCCGTTACACTGACATAACCAACACCCTCTGCCTGACCTTTGATCAAGTAATCTCTGACAGCACTAGCTCGCTCAGACCACGCCAGATAGATCTGTGCAGCGGTATAGAAGCCATCCTTCGTATCTGATTTAGCGTATCGCGTAGCGTAATCCTTGACGAGATTGATGGGCTCCGAAGTTGATTGCGCAAAGGAAATGTAGGCTGCTAACCTGAGACTTGGGGCAGGCTCGGAAGCTGCTGTGAGGAGTGTGGGAGGTAGAGAAGAAGCGAGAGCTGATCTGAATAGCTGCAGGGCATCGTGAGATTCTGCTGACATGTTCAGCTGGCTGAGGAATCTGTTAAGCAGGATGAGAGGCTATTCGAGAAGTCAATATATATGGTCCAGGATGTCAAGCTCAGAACATCACGTGATCAGACTGATTTATGCATTGGCGCGCTTCGCGTGGCAGTGCCTCATATTGCATGGGACACAAGAACGACAAGGCATGTTACAAAGATGATATGCATGCAAGCAAGGTCTAATGGATCAACGGAGCTCCTCATGGCCTGACAGGTTGTTTCTGTTAAGAAAGACTGGGCCGTCAAGCTGGCTTCAATATGTCCCAGTTTTTCAGGTGCGTGACATGGGCAATATCGTTGAAGATGTCTTTCAACTTGTACGTGTCTGTCTTGCCCCAGGGATTGTGGAGAGTGACACTACGAGCAATGTCACGCACATCAGGTCGTGGGGGCTTGGGGTATACTTAACTGGACTCACGTCTCGTCATCATCATCCATTTGAGCTGACAGGACAGCGTAGGCGTGGTTTCCGACCAATTTACCGGGATCGTCCACTGTACCGAGCGTGACAGGGGTGTAACTGGCTTTCTTGAAGATATCGTCTGTTCACTGATGTCAGTACGCACAGGCTACCCCGATCTTGAACACTCGCAATATTCATCCTGAGTCCCACCACTAATGTCGATCGTGATTCGGTTCGTTAGCATTGCCAGTGCTTCGAGGGTGTAACCTCCTTGGAGGAAATCGTCTCCAAACATTTTCTGAGCGGCGTTCTGGAAGCCTGGTACCCACCTTGATTTGATGTCAGCTCGACACAGGACGTCAGTCATCGAGTATCACTAAGACTGACCATGTGGGAATCATATCTGTCGATTCATATGTGGCTTTACCGTCAGTCTCTTCACCCATGATATCGTCTGCGTAATTCATTCTTGTCCATACATGGTCGGAAGTCTGATCTATCATCATTTGATTCGCTCCGGTAGATGACCGCTCAATCGCTTCAGGCTCCCTGTACTTGAAGATGTTGAATTCTGCCGTATCGACTGTACTGCCATCGTCCGCATCCTCTGGGTCGACTTTTCTGACAGCGGACTGCAGCCAATGAGGAGCGCGATCCGCCAGGACACAAAGTGCTAGAATAGGAGGTTATCCCAAATGATAAGAGGGCTACTTTGATCTAAAGGCCGACTCACTAGCTGCCAAGAAACAATCTGGTACGGATGCTGAATCAACCAGGTAGATATCAACGCCCACTGTATTGAGGAGGGAATACCCAATCCACTCACTTTGCTTGATATCCTTGCAGGTGGGCCCGTCAATCGGCCACAGAGCTCGGTGGAATCGCCCCATGATGGTGGCATGGACGGCGTCAGGTCCTCCAGTCTGGGGTATTGGCACAGCTGAGACACCGCTTGCAACTTTCCTAATCAGTCATTCTGTTGCGAACGCGCTCCGTGAGATATAAACTCACTCGAAAGGCAAAGTGAGATCTGGAAAATTAATTCAACATACATCATGATGATTGTCGGTACCTTGAACGAGGGGATCGGCTGGAGTATGAAATTGCACGATATGTTACTGAAAGCACAGGAAACAGCCTCCAAGCTCTCTTTTAGACCTGCGTGAGTGCCAAGACCACTACAGATATGCCCCTATTGCCGAACAATTCTACCTTTGAACCCGTGCTTGCGGTCCCACCAGGCTAAGTCTCATTCCTTTATCAAGATCTGGGCCTCGTAAGGGTTTGACTGACTTGGTAGCTGAAGCGCATCGGTCCCCGTGTCTGATGGCACCGCTCCTTTGTGTCCATCAGTGCCATGCATGTGAGCAAACACCATCACCGTTCACACCATAGGTAGATGAGGCAGATTGCCACCGCCACACATGAGAGGCGCGGGGCACCACGTTTCAGAATGTCAAAGACGCGTCCGAACATTGAATTTCGGTTTTGGCAGCTGTATGAATTCATCCAATAATGTCAGCAAAGGCAGGTGTACCGTAGGGCGGCGGTCATGACGCCCTGTTGACTGGAAGTCTTGGATCATGGCCATATTCTGTTTGCCAGTCTCTGTGTTTCTGTCGTTCGCTAGAGTGTCAACCCGTGTAAAGCGCTCATCATGGACATCACTTTCGAGAGGTGAGTCAAGGTTCTCAAGGGAATTCCGTGAAGCCCATTGACTCGTGCCGTCTTAAGCTTCGCCAAACTCATCTATCGTCTGAGCCATCCTCCCCAAGCTCGCTCCCGTGAAAACCGCACGTTCACTCCGGCGGACATCTTCACTTCATGGCTGAATCATTTGGACCGACCGTTACCCCCTGGTTCGGGCAAGCATGTCCTTCGAATCTTGTTTCCGCATGAAGGCTGCAGGAGACGATACGGAATGAAAGAGATGAAGCTTGCATGTGAGCTGGAGAGGATACTACGCATCAAAGGACTGTCAAGATGGGACTCTGCTGGTAGTCCAGGCGGTGGAAGTGGCTGTTTGGGCTTGGAGGTGCAGCGGGTCTGCAAAGAGAGGGTGAGACGAAGCCGCGAATAAAGACAGCACGACTGATCACCATCATCCCCAGACAACCTCTAGAGTCTCCAGTCTGACACTAGCCGAAATCGACCTCAGACTGGATCAACTGGCGTCATATTCACCTTTCTCTCAGCTCGAAGTCCCTCCATGTGATCCGCCCTCTCAGACCGACATCTTATCTCATCTGTTTCGAGATTCCAATCTCTCCTCATACGCATCGGGACTTCTTATACAGATCATCTTACAGGACATCCGACCGTTCCTTGACCCCTTGCCGAAGCTGGCCCTCCGGAACGCGACATCTCTCTTGAGAATGAAGTCCACTCATGGTCCACCTCAGCTGGATCTGCTGTCCGCCATGAGAGCGTGGGACCCTCGTATGGCAGACATGTTCGTTGATGGTAAAGGTGATCTGGACTGGTGTGCGGATATGGCAGAAGCGATGCGGAGTTGGGACGGAGCCATCTTTAGATTCAGAAGCACAAGCCATATTCAGAGCACAATTAGGTCTTCTCAACGCACTTGCTCTTCTCGGGTTCGCCCACGCTCGTCTGAAGCCTCAGTGGGCCAGACGGTTGGAGAGAACCAATCTGATGAACCCTGATTTCGTGAGTGTCCCACGTAGCTCTCGTGCTGATTCGCCCAGATCGCCGACTCCTTACACCATTTCTACCTCTTACATTCTAGCTTGGAGGCAGGCAGACCTCTTCCCGTCAACACATCGATCCTTGAACGTCTAGTGTACCATTCACAGTCTTCCGATGGAACCCGCACCAACGCTTGGAAAGGTGATTCAGAGCCGAACTTTGAGCAAAGGGAAGAAGATCAGGCATTGGCGGCTTTGGGCCAAAAATTGACATGGAATCTATGTCATGTAAGTTTGAGCCCCCATTTATCTTGCCAAGGCTCAAAGCTGAATATCCTCGCAGGATGAGCAAATGTCCATTTTCGCAGCGACAACGGTGGCGATGACCTATGTCGCGAGTGGTTTGGAAGAGCTGACGAGGGAGATTGCAGATTTAGTAGGCGAGACGAGTCTGGCAGGGCTCGACAGGGCGAGAGAGAGGAGAGCGTGAGATGTTTAGTGATCTCTGAAACGCAATCATCTTGTACAGGATCTTTTATTATTAATGCAATGTTTGAGATAGCCTTTGGTACATCGTGACTTCGATTTCGCACATTATCGCCACCGCCACACCGTCCCGTCTCGGGGGGGCCAATTTTCTTTGGCTGGAAACATGCCGTACCCTGTCCATCAGCGGCGTCAATTAGTCTTGTCCGGGGTATCATATCATGCATATGGCCTGAGATCTGGAGGGTCCTCGTGAGGCTGGGTCGGTCGTTGTGACTCACAACCTGATGTCATTTTACTATTTATACATTCTTCAGAGAGGAACGAGTATTTTGAAGAAAATGGGCCGGCGCCGGAAGATCTCAATGACAAACGCCAAATGATTCCACCTCTGGAATCTCGGGCTCAAATTCTCTCACAT